GTGCGTGATAGGTATGTTCACTGTCCCGAGTGTGGTCATGGTTTCTTGGGGATACACTTATGTCAAAATGTTTTAAGTTGTACACTTTAAATATGTAAAAATTATTCTGCCAAGTATACCTCAAAGCTGTTTGAAGAAAAAAGGCACCTCAGTCCTGACCCACCTCAGCGCCTGACTGGATTGAGATGATCAGTCCCTCACCCTATCTGCCTAACAGGAAGGTAGAAAACCTCTCACAGAAGACAACATATGGATTTTTCACTCACAATGTCTGCCATGTAATAAAGAATTTCTAGACATGCAACATGTCAAGACTACATGACTGACACTATGAGAATAAGAAACACTAGACAATAGATCCAAACCCACAGGTGATGTAGGCATCAGAGTTAACAATAAAGGCCATAAAATAGTTACTTTTAATACATTCAAGAAAATAACAAAATGATGGGGAAATAGCTAACAGGATAAAGATTTTCACATGAGATATATACTAGAATGTATTTTTAAGAAAAATCAAACAGATACTCTTAAAACTGAAGCTTTCAGATCTGGAAACAAGTGAACAGAGCTAATTTGGATCCCTTTAAAGTAAAACTTTTAGTAACACTGGATAAAATACAACAACAAAAATAATACAGAGCTAACTATGGAGAGAGAAGTTCCCAGGTGACAATATAAAGAGGTCTCATGTTTGTCAAAGCACTGTCCTATTCACGTATCTCACCTGATTCTCAAAACTGATCAGCGCAGTCCCATAGGGCAAGAAGTACCACACCATTTCACAAATGCATACGCAGGTCACCCGACTGATCGATACAATCAGTGATAGGAGAGGGGACAAAACTCAGGTTCCTGATTCCTTGTTTCATTAACTGTGGGACAAATGATCAATTCAGGGGTAATAAATCAGTGAATGAGTGAGTAACACAACTCTCCATTAGTCCCACAAGTGCCTGGAAGAGTGAGCCTGGGTAAACTGAGTAATGTAACAGCCCATCTACTTTCATTACCATCCTTTCCAGGTTTATATAAAAGTTACTTCCACCCAGGCAGTGGCAAGAATCATGTCTCAACACTCTCTCAAATCCACAGCAGAACCTGACAACAATTAGGCTCTAGAGTCTGTGTTTGGCGAGTGTGGAATCTCAGTGATTCCAGCTCTTACACCTCTGCCTTGCCACCCACTCCTTGCAACACGGCCCTTATGACCAAGTTCTACCAGGGCTGAGGCCACGGAACCCATTTACAGGACTGGAAAAACCTGATCATGTTAACTAACCTCCAAATTATTATCAGGAATCACCTACATTTCAGGGATCAGTAATCCCAGAAGCTTTGCAGTTCAGGCAGCTGAGGGACTTTTATATCAGATCTATCTCCTATTATGACTGCCTGGGTGACATCAGACAAGGAATTCTGCTTCAAAGCCTCAGTTTCTCCTTTCAGGGATAAGCCTGATGAACAAATCTTGTCGCCCACTCAACAAATATGATTTGAAGATCAATGACTTACACAGGAGGACAACACTCACTAGACTGTGGGTTTAGAATCAGAGAAAAATCATTTGAGAAAGACGGACAGAATGCGGCTTTAATGCAAATTTAAGTGGTCTTACCTTATCAGTAACTCTTCTTCCACTACTTGTCACTTCACCAAACTTTAAAAGATGTTTGAGAACAGGGATGAGTGTGCCAGCAATCTGTGACCCAATAACCTAAAATGTCACCTAGGAAAAAGAGGGGGAGTAACACATTTAGAAAAAGCACGGTGAGGATGGTGGGAACATCCCCCTAGTCCAGGCTAAGAAGCTCTGAGTAACAGCCTTCCTGCCTGCCTGGAGCATCAGCTGATGTGAAAACCAACCTAGAAACCACCCTGTCCAGCAGCTCTTTCACGACACAGGCTACACTTTCTCAAGGTGATGAACAGGTTCCATTGACCCCTTTGCTGAAGAATAAAGACAAAAGAGACCAAGAGAGTTCTGCCCCTCCCCTGGGGAGAGCCCACACCTTGGGCTGACTAAACCTCGCAGGCCTCCCAAATGCAGGTAAACTGGAGACTGGGCATCCTGTGAACTTGGGGCAGCAAAGGTTGCCCCTGTGCCAGGCTGCAGGGGAGATGGGAACAAACTGAACGACTGCCAGGGGCAGCCCCCTAAGGGCAACGTGCCCTGAGTCTGGTGGTGAGGCTGTCAGAGAATCTGTCTTTTGACCTGGGGCAACAGAAGCCACCCCCAGGCCAAGCCACAGGGAAGACAGGAGCTAATCCACCAGCTCACCCTGCACGCTCCCATACCCCCGCCACCACCCCACTGCCCACAGTAAGACCTGGA